ACGACCTAAGATTTACCAATCACGAAAATAACAAAAAAAAAAGTTTTTTAACATAACATATTTTACTCATTATGACAGCCGTTTGGCAGATTATATATGTCACCAGACGTTTCGCGGTTTTGCCGAAAGGAGGAGATTGGCGCTGTTGCTAACCACCTGAAATACATAATCTACCAAAGGGCTGTCACAATCAGTAAAGCAGTATCAATATGTTAAATATTTAATAAAATTTTTTTTTCTTATTTTCGTGATTGGTAAATCTTAGGTCGTGTATTTTTTAGCGTTTATTAATTTTCCAAATGGAAATTGCATTTTTGATTGTAATTTCTGAGAAAGTACTGTTACAGTTTTTGTGAAAAAAGTGCACATATTTAATTTATCGACATGAAATTTTTTTCATCATTTTAACTCAAAAAAAGTTTTAGCTGGTATATATCTTGCCAATAATCAATTATCCATAAAGGAAAAAGCATTTTACCATCTTGTTTTCAAAAAAAGGCTGTTGAAAATTTTCCAAAATTTTAGTATCAATGTAGATGGCGCTGCCTCACTTGGACCTGGCCTTAAGAAAAAGATTACATTATTTAAAAAAAAAAAATTTTTTTTAATTAAATGAATAAAATGAAATTCAGGAAGCAAATAAAATTAAATGATTGGAAAAAGAATATATTGAAAATTTTAAATTAGATTTTTTATTTTAAAGTAGGTTAAAGATTAATTCAGACATGACAGGAGAGGAAATTATAAAATCCCAGAGACAGAATTTTTTTCTAATTAAAATTCAAAGCTGACTGAGTTTCAATAAAAAAAAAAAAAAAAAAAAAGAGAGAGAGAGAGAGAGAGAAGAAAAAATAATTTCTTTACAAATTAAAAGGTTGGACTCGTAATGTTCTTAATTTAAGTGAAACAGTGGCAGAAGTGTGTTGATAAAAAAAGAAATATCTGTATTTTTTAACGATTTAAAATATAAATTTATATATGTATATATATATATATTCTTTTATGACTTTCGTGTTTTCAAGATCCATTGGATTTGAACAGGATCGACTTTATGTGAAATTCCAATATCTCGTTTTTCTTTCTTCTTCCCCCTGTGCAATACCTGACTGGATTGGCAGCCTGGATTTTCAGAATATCTCTCACATTCTCTCTTGTTACGACAATTGTCACTCCCTCCCTCCCCCCCTCCAACCCCCTTTTTTTGCTTTTTTTTTCCTCACCCGATCAGAAACAGTATTCCTGTTGATTTGGGTGATTCTGAAACGTAATTTTGTCTGGATTTACGGCTATTTGCACTTTATCTTCAAATACGAGCGCGCAAATACAAATATACAGGGTGCAGAAATTTCATTCGAAGATCGGTACTGAATAGCCAAAATCTGTTTGAAATGGAAAAAAAAAATATATTTCTTTTTTTTTTTTTTTTTAAGTTTTTAATTTAAAAAGAAGTCCGTAAAAATTAAAGTCACTATATTTTATAATTTTTCAATATTTCCTAAAAAGAAAAAATATTTTTTTTTCAATAATTTTTTTTATTATTAAAAATCAAAAAAATTTTAATGATTAAATTAATTGAAAAAAAAAAATTTATTTGATTCAAATAATTGGTTATTTGACTATTATTATTAAATGAATATTTACTTAAACCAAATAATTTTTTATTTATGTCAATTAAATGGTATATTTATTTTGAATAAAGAAATTATTCGTTTGAATAAAATTTAATTAATTGAAATTAAATAAATTTCTTTTTCAGTGTAATATTTCCTAAAAATTATTTTTATTACAATATAGGAATAAAAAATAAAATATATTTAATTTTTTTTTTTAAAAATGCTTTTTAATTTAAAAAGAAATCCGATAAAATTAAAGTTACTATTTTATATAGTTATATTCAATATTTTTTAAGAGGGAAAAATATTTCATTTTTCCATTTAAAAATATGTTTATTTTGTAGGTTTTTTATTTTTAAAAATCAAAATTTTCCCAATATAATATTAACATTAGGTATGAATTTACCTCAGTTTGAAATTAAAATTATTTTAACTTTTACAAATTAAAAAAAAAATGGAAATTTCAATTAATATCATAAGAAAATGTTATTTACAAAATAAAGACACTTTTTTTTAAACTTGTAACATAGGAGAAATTAAAAAAATTGATGGAAATCCAATAATAAAGAACTTAAATGTCAACAATATTTTATTGTTGTCGTTTTAAGTAAAATTGTCGTATATTATATTTGATTTCCATCAGTGGATGAAAAATTATGAAAATCTTTATTGACAAGTGGACACTCAAATATGAAAATGGTCGTTTAATGGATGAAGTATTTGTATTATACTATATAGCAGCAGTCATGAACAGATATTTTGCAATACATTGCTGGGTATAATATAGTTAATCTGACATAAAATCCATGTCTATTTGCGTCAACAGAGTATCTCACAATCTGGAATTCTGCGAACCGCGAACCGTTTGTTCCACACTTTTGTCTCACACAACTTCATCGATATCAAGCACCTGTCATTTACATATTAAATTTAATATATTAAATCAGTTCCCTTCAAAACATATTTTGCCATTGTTTATATATTCAACATAATATATATTTGCAAAATTCCATACGAAATTCACAAGTTTTGGTGAAAAATTTTTTTTTTCTTAGACAGACAATTTCATTTTAAATTCCTGCAAGTACCCCTACAAGTAGGGGAGAGACCCCTATAACCATCCCAAATTACTAGATCTAAATACATTATTTTATAGTATCAAATAAATAGTAATTTATATCAAATACAATAAACTACTTAAATCAAATAAATTTTATAATTGGAGAAAATAAACAATGCTTTAAATGATGATAAGGTAGGTTCCCAAATTACCAGCAGTCAGTATTTAGAAGTTTTCACCCCCCCTGTCTTCTTTATCGTCTGATGGCAAAGTAGATTTTTATATTACCAGTAGTCGGTAATCGGTAATATTTATTTTCCTTCTTTACCTGATGATGGTAAAGTAGTTTTATACATTATCGGCAGTCGATAACTTTAAAAAATATCGTTTTTCTTCTCCTGTTATCGTCTGCACGATTAAAACGAGTTAATATTTAAAAATTATATACATTTATGTCATACAGGGTTTTTAAATAAATATGGGACGTTTCATGTCAACCAGCCCAGAGCTCCTTCCAAAAATCTACTCAACGAGTTCAAAAATTAATTAAAAATTATAAGTTTTTTTTATTTGACCTTTTCTGTTCGTTTGTTTTTGTCTATATTGTTAATATATTGAGGGACATTACAGTTTAATTTATAATTGTCATTATTATTATTATTGTTATTACTAAATATATCTTTTAATATTGTCAAACTGTTCCTTTGTTAAAGGAAAATTAATTTTTCAGGTATTTATTTAATTTTGACATAAATTTCTATGTGTTTTAATTTTTAAATTTCCAATAAAGGTTAATTGAAAAGTGACAATTTTTGCAATTAAAATGAGACAAGTTAAAAGAGCTTTTGATTTAATAAAAGGATCAATATCTATTGTTGGAATATAATAAATAATGTATGAGTGTTAAGGAAAACTGGTTTCATAAAATATATGACATTTTCAATATATATATATATAAACTATAGTAATTATTTAAATAAAAATTATAATTTTATTATTTTGAAATGCGGCTGCAATACATAAAGCTATTACACTATATGTATATAAGTAATTTGAGAGATTTCGAGAAATTTCAATGTGTATTGCCTTGAAGGTGTGATACGCACACCCTTGTCATTCTGTTATCGACAATCTGTCACGAATGGCCTTCCTGTCTCCAGGATAGATCCCTGTCATGTGTATTTTTCAAAATTACTTTGTAATATCAAGTAAAATAGCTAAATTTAATATTTTCATTATAGATGACAAGAATATTTGTTTTTTTTTATAAAAAGAAATTTATTCTTGTATTTATATAGAATATACATGTGATATTTTTTAAAAATAAATAAAAGTAATCCATACTGAAATAAAAATTATTTGATACAAATAATCGATTATTTGACTATTATTATCAAATAATTATTCTTTGAATCAATAATTAAATAGTATTTATTTCAAATACAGAAATTATTATTAGTTCAACTTCAAATACAATTTATTTAATTTAAATAAAAATTATTTGGTTCAAGTAAATATTTTGTAATGATAGTTAGAAATCGGTCGGTAAATATTTATACTAAATATTATCGTAAGTCCCCGCGTGAAAATGGCAACTGTGGGAGTAGTATGGATTAAAATTTTTTAAGATTTTATCCATAGTTGGGCCACTATGGGGCAAGTATGGGTTTTGTCCAAATCCCATAGTCAAACTTTGGCCATTTACAAGTCCAACACTTGATAATATTTCGCCGCGAGTTGGGCCATACTATGGGTCAAGTATGGGGTTTCTTAAAATCACTTGATTTAATTTTAGGATTAGATTTTTTTAATTTTAACCATTTTTTAAACAATTGTTACACAAAAAACTTATAAAAATTGTATTTTTTTCATATAAAAAATAGAAATTTTTAGTTTTTTCAAAATGAAAAAGTGATTTCAAAAACTTTTCAAATTTTAATTTTTATAATTGAAAAAATATTTATTTCTGAGGTTATTACATAAAAATTTCCTTGTTATAATTAACTTGTCTTTTTGTTAAATAAATTTTTATTTTATCAAATTCTCTTTTTAATAAATAAATACTTTATTTAAAATAAAAATTTTTTGTTTTGTGAAATGATAAATTTTCAAATATTTGGAAACTTTAAAAAAATTAAAATGTTTAGAATTGTTTTAAATAATTTTTTATTCTTGATAAAAAGACTATTCAATCATTTATTTTTTTAACAGAATCAGTCGTATGTAATAAAACAAATCAAAATTTAAATTTATTCGAAAAGAATCATTTAAAAGTAATTATTTAGCTTATTGCTTGAATAAAAATAAAATTGTTTTAAGAGACAACTCTACAGTTTTCTTTTTTTGGCCAGTGGCTCTTCGTGATCATTCTCATTTTCCTCCTCACTATCCTGTTCCTGACTATCCTCTCTATCACTATCATATTCCTGACTATCCTCTCTCTCACTATTTTCATCCTGACTATCTTCTCCCTCATTACCCTCATCACTGTGATCGACTTTATTGTCCTCTACGACTTCTTTCTCATCCATTTCCTTTTCAATTTTCTTAGTTTTTTTCGTGACTTTCTTTACTTTCGCATTCGTCTCATTTTTATTTTTCTTCTCAGTTTTGGGATTTCTTAATGTCCCGCACTGATAATTTATAACAGAAATATATTCTATTTCCGTAAAATGTTTGTTTCTTGCGTGTACGTATTCTATAAATTTAATTTGTTTTTATTTAAAATTAATTTTATTTTAGAGAAATTGATAAAAATTTACTTGTTAAAATTTAATGATTTCAGATGAAATAAGGTATGATACAAAAAAAATATTTATATGTATTTTTTTATACTAACTATAAACATCGACCCTTATATTTTCGGGAATTGCGTTTCCTTTTTTCCCCAGTGCTGTCATAGTTTTTAAACTTTTCGCTCCTACCAATTCCAACATAAGTTGCCGAGTCAACTCTCTCGGATTGTTCCGGAAGCGTTTCATCAAAAATAATTTATTTTCGTTTATTAAAACACTCGATCCTTTGAACAACTCTACCATATTCGTTCTTTTTATGACATTATTCATTATCTGTTAGAAGGAAAAAATAATTAATAAAATTTAATTTGTAACCAATAATGAAAGTTTGAAAAGGAGAACTCACAGGAGAATTTACTTCAACATTTTTGTCTACAACTGTTTTAGCAAATTTTAATAAGATCTCTAGACCATTGACAAATTCTGGTGTAACTGAAAAAGATTCAGAAAAATTACTTTTAATATGCGCTAAATTTAGTTCTCAAGAATATTCAAAATATACAAGAAAATTTAAATTTTGACCTCGAGGGAAATTATAATAAAAAAATGAATAATAAATAAATAAATAAAGAATAAAAAAATGAACTTTTAATTTTTTTATTTAAACTATATTTTCGAATCGCGTCCACGTTAAAAAAAATAAATTTGGAATCACAAAATATTGCAGCCAAAATGTTAGAACTTTCAGATAGTGACATTATAAAGAAAAATAATTTTTTCAAAATTCAAAATGGGGCCTTGAAAATTGTTGATAAAATATAACAAATTCAAAAAATATATTAAAGGTCACGAAATTTAATATTTGTGAGTTTTCGTGGTCGCAAATTAAAAATTCAATGTTAGTTTCTTGAAAATTTGAAAAAGGGAATACAGTGTGGAGGATTTTTTTAAACTGATCTGAAGTTTTTAAAATTTCATCAGATTAAAATCGTTACTCTATATTTTTCAATGCTGCTGATTATGAATTTGATATCAATTTTTAAAAATTCAAACAGACGGATCCAATATTACGGTTAAAAGTTTTGTAAATTGAGCTAAGACCTTATGGAAACTACAATTTTATAAATGTTTAGCTGTCGCTGAATTCAAATTTAATACCAGTTTTTCAAAGTTGAAAACGGCGAATTCAATATGGCTGACTTCTTAAAAAATTTATTATATTCGCTTAAAAGTATTTACTCGGGAAGTTTTAGATATCTCTGAATTTGGCTTTAACCCTATTTTTAAATACCATTTATGATTAATAATTTTCTTTCTTACTGTTTGAAATGAGAGCATTCAAAATTGAATTCGAAGATTCCCCACTTTTGTTGGTCTCATCGAAGAGATCTTCACTTTTCTTATCTAATACATTTAATTTTTTAAATTTCCGTTATTGAAAATAATAAATTTAATTATTTTAAATGTGTAATTATTAGCATATAATTTTTTTAAATCATTTCAAATAAAATTAAATAATATTTAAAAATATTTTAAGATTTGATATCTTAATTTTTAAATTAAATAAATAACATGTGAATTTGTACAAATTAAAAAGAAAGTTACTTATTTGACAAATTTAAATTTGTACAGTTCAAAATAAACAAAATAATTTCGTTGATTTAATTATTATTGCAGATTATTTAATATGAAATGTGTTTAATTTAAATTACCGGAAGTTGAAGGGAATTCGTCAGATAACGATAAACCGGAAGTTAAAGACAATTCGTTAATTAAAGAGGATTTGGAAGTTGAAGTCAATTCTAAAGTTGAGGGTGATTTCGGAGGATGATTCATTTTCGGAGGCAACTTTGATGTTGAAGGCAATTCCAAAGTTGAGGGTGTTTTTGAAGGCAACTTTGATGTTGAAGGCAATTCCAAGATCTGTTTTTTTTTCGTTTTATTCACACGATCAGCTGCTTGATCGGGGTTTTTATCTATTTAATGATATTTACATGTGTAAATATAAAAATCACTTTGAAATTATTATTTACCATTTTTTACATTAAAATAAAAATTATTGTATACCATCAATTGATGAAAAATTAGATATATGTTTTTCCATAATTTTATTCGTTTGGGCTCTCATTCTTTTCTTCAATGCCAAATGAGCTTTCTCACTTTCTGATTGGCTTTTTGTTTTGATCAGATTTTCTATAAATATATTCATAAATTATTTTACGTATCGTCATATAAACCCACATAAAAAGACTTCTAGGAAAGTGTCCGAAGAATTTTCGTTATTCTAATGAAACATTTCTATTTGAATTTTTATTAGAATTTTAATCAGAATTCTGATGATAATTTTTATAAAAATTCGAATTAGAAATTCGTGGCAGAATTCAGATTAAAATTCCGACATACGATTGATTGTTCGAAATTACGAAAAAACGAGTGTAAAAAATTTGCCCTAATGACAAATAACGTAAATTGTGAAACAAGCTAAATTTTTAAAGTAACAACAGTAAAAGTTTTAAACCAATTAAAATAGAACGTGTTTAGGGGTAAAAAATTTTTTATCCATTTTTTTAAAACCTGAAATCATATATTCTATTAGAAAAAATTAAAAAAAAAATTATATTTAACTATTTTAAGAATTTTTTATTTTTCAAGTTTAAAGTGGACCCTTTTTCCTAACTTGACGACCTATGTTATGTGCGAATTTTAAAAAATGTAAACTTAATGTTTAAAAAAAATTTGGATTACCGCCAATTCGTGATGATTTTTTAGTTTTATTGAACTTTGAGGATTTTTCCGATTCATTTTCTAATGTCAAATGGGTTTCTACATTTTCAGGTTCACTTGCATCCAAATTATCTTCGTTCATTGTTACGATATCAATTTTTTTGTTGCTTATTCCATTGTCTTCGTGATTATCATCGGAATCAGTTACAGAAATATCTTTACTAGTCGAATCAGTGGTTTTCTTGCGTTTATCTTCTATAAAAATATAAAATCTAATTAAGGATTATTATTTTAAGAATTATTATTATTAATAAATTATAAATAATGTATAAATAAATTTATGATGATAATTTTTATACAGGTTCGGATTAGAAATTCTTGTCCGAATTCAGATCAATATTCCGACATACGATTGATTGTTCGAAATTACGAAAAAAGCGTATCAAATATTTGTCAATGAAAAATAACGTAAATTGTGAAAAAAGTTAAATTTTTAAGGAAACAACAGTGAAATATTAACGAATCAAAGTTGAACTTGTTTAGGGGTAAAAAATTTAAAAAAATTATTTTAGAACCCGAAATCATAATATTTTATTATGAAAAAATGAAAAAATTTTATTTAACTATTTTACACATTTTTTACTTTAAAAATTTTTTTTAAAACCCATACGCTTGATTGTTCAGAATCATGAAAATACGTGAAACAAATTCGGCAATAAAAAAATAATGAAAATTATGATAGAATAATTTTTGTAAAATTTTGAATTTTATTACTATTATTTTATTTTTATTATTATTAGTATTATCAAGTTAATTGTTTTTTAACTTTTCATATCAGAAAAAAATTTGACTACTATAACCAACGCAACGTTAATTTGTATAGGTTGAAATTTTACGTCTGATGATTAAGCGCAGGTTTAATGTGGACCCCTTTCCCTAACTTGATGACCTATGTTATGTGCGAAATTAAATATATTTTAACTTAATGGTTAAAAAATGTAGATTATCACCAATTCGTGATGAGTTTTTATTTTTGTTGTTAAACTTTGAGGGTTTTTCTGATTCCTTGTCCAATGTCGAATGGATTTTTACATGTTCGAGATCACTTGAATCTAAATTATTTCGTTTCACTGTTACGACATCAATTTTTTCGTTGTTCATTCCATTGTCTTTCTGATTATCGTCGAAATCATTTACGGGAATATTCTTAACAGCCGAATCAGTGGTTTTCTTACGTTTATCTTCTATATAATAATGCAAATAAATATCAAATGTAATTATGGATTATGTGCGCTACTTTTATATTTGTATAATTTTATTAACTCTGTAAATGATTTTTTTATTTATTTTGAGAATTATTATTGTTTATTCACTATGAAATTGTGTATAATAGTTTTGAAAAATCTCAATGTAAATAGTTAAACATTTTTAACAAACAATATTGTTTACCACAAATTGGATGCATTTCAGAAATTTTATCCTCTAATTTTGATGCAGTTTGAGCTCTCATTTTCTTTTTCAGTTTTGATTCGGCTTTCTCCTTCGCTGATTGAGATTTAAATTTTTCGATTTTTGAAGTATTTTTTTTCTTTTCCGTGATGGTCCCGTCTTTATTGACATTTTTACTGAGTTTTTCTAAGAAACTTTTTGACTCTATAAAGCACGTAAAAATGGTAAGAAATTGTAATTTTACCAATTATAAATCTTAGTTTTTAAAATTTATTTTGTTTTTATAATTTAAAGAAATAGGTTAATTTAATTAATTAAAAATTAAATAAATTTAATTTAATAAATTAAATAAAATTTAATATTAATTTAATAACCTCTAAAATTTATTTTAAATCTGTAAATATTTTTTTTTCAAATAATATAAAAAATTTCAATCTTTTTTAAACGTATTTCCACCCTTGGTTTGAAAAACAAATAGTTTTGACTTTTTTCTAAAACCAAAATTTGAAAAAAAACGATATTTTTATTTTTCTTTTTTTAAAATGTTATATTTTATGCTTTAATTATCGAGAAAAAAATTTTTATAAACCTCTGATTTTAAAATAAAAAATAATTGAAATTCTTTATTTAGAGAAAGGTCAAATTTTAGATTGTATAAAAAAAATGTTTACATCGTACTGAAAAATTAAAAAAAAGTTAAATTGTATTATTGCAATTTAAAATTATTCGCGAAAATTATTTTTAAAAGTGGAAAAAAACGTTTAAATCCCGGGAATTTTAAATTGGCAAATAGCTATTTTTAATAATTATTATGATAAAATAATAATAATAATAATCATAATAATAATAATAATAGTAATAATAAAAAAAAATATAATTAATAATAATTTTAAGTTGATAATAATTATAATTCAAAATTCTAATATTTACCACTTCTGTGAAGGAGAATTGCTTTAAAGACTCCTTTGTTGGGATATTTTATTTGAATAATTTCTCCCTCGTTTGCTTTCTTCGCATCTTCAGTTTCCTCCATAATCGTGATTGCATTCGGTTTATCCACCCATTGCAAAAGCACATAAATTTTTCCTGGCATTTTTAAATGTTTTAGGAAAACGTTAAACAAATTTGTTTGTTCTGTCAAATTTGTAAATGACACTTGGTTTCTAAGGGCAACATGATAATAGACTTCATGTCATTCTAATTTTCCAATTGAATGTTTCGTTACTCATTTCATTATTTTTACGTCAAATAAACGTAAAAAAAAATTCGACAAATCGAACTGCTTTGAAATTTTTCAATTTAAATTATTCTACGTAGTTTGCAGATTATATTTTAAAATGCAACGTTCTCGAGATTTTGAATTATTGAGCAGAAGAACACAAATGCGCATTGCCAACGATTTGGCAGAAGATTCAGATTTTTCCGACGTTTCTAATGTATTAATTTTTTGTAAAATTTTATGAAGTCTATGTTATTTTATTTTAAAATATTAACTTGTGTTTCTTTATAATAAATTAGACCGATAGTATTGAAGAAAATTATGTCTCTAGCAGTGATGACAATGATATCTCTAACAGCGATGATAATGATGATGTCTCTGGCAGCGATAATTCCAATGTTTATAGTGATAATGGCGTAATAAATAACCAAGGTATAATACAGGACTTAAATAATTTCACTCTTAAATTTATAAATTAATTTTTTATTATTATTATTATTTTTAATTCATCACTAAAAATTAATTTTTTTATTTGCACAAAATATAATTATTTCTCTCTTAAAATTAAAAAATAACAAAAACTTTCATTTTGTGCAACCATTTTTACATTTCTCATAATATTTTTTTTCTATGCCGAGAAAAAGAAAATAAACAATAAAAAAAGTTGTTTACAAATGTGAAATAATTCACTATGTATTTGAAGTATTTCGCATTAGAACTTGATTTTTCATTCTCGCCCGTATGACAGTGATGCTAAATGGTCATGCAATTTTTCCTATAAATCATCACTTATCTACACTTTTATTACTAATAAAATCCCCCAAAATAAACTTCATAATGCCATTAACGCACGACTCCAAATTAGAAAATAATTACTTTCGCAAAAAGAAGAAGTATTATTCTAAAATAGTGGAATAATAAATTTTAAAAAACTGATTAAAAGCGCGAAAAAAAAATTTTTAAATGAGAATATAATGAAAAATAGTTTTTATAGATTTTACGAAAGATATTTTAAATAAAATTTAATTTAATTTATCCACTTTATTTTTCATCCCGCAACATAAGTCGGTGTCGTTTTTTTCGTAATTCATTGGGATTGAATTCATAACCTTTAAGCTATTCTTTATTTCCATCCATTCAATTCGATCCGTTTCTATTGCCCGATATTTTTTATGCGTCCTCACGTCCGTTTTTTCGTATTGTTAAAAAATTAAAAATTTTTTAAATGAAAGAGAAATATAAATATTTCTAACAATTCTTTGATATTTTTAGGCAACCATGATGAAGAGGTAAACTCAGATAATGAAATCGATCCCCCTTCTGCGAGCAGCACTGATTACGACTCAATTAGTGATTTTGATGAAGCTGATATAGATTCTAATCGTAGTTCTGAACCTACCACCGATGCTGAAAATGATTTTGGAAACGATAATGAAATCGAAGAAGACGATCCACCATTATACGAGGGATCTCCTATCACTGTAACAGAGAGCATTTTAGCTATTCTTTCCCTGGTCTTAAAATTTTCTCTATCAGGAGTAGTTCTAGGGGGTATTTTACAACTGATAGCCTTGCATTGTCCCGAACCCAATTTTTGCCGAACTAGTTTATATGCCTTTAAACAATATTTTGAAAATTTACATACACCCGTTACGAGACAATTTTATTGTCCAATTTGCTTAACTTTTCTTGAGCAACAAGTTAATCAATGTCCTGAATGTTTGCAAGCAATAGATTCCAACTATTTTCTATCCATTTCTGTTATCGATCAAATCCAAGCTCTTTATTTGAGAAATGGCTTTCACCAAAAATTACAGCACAGATTTCATCGTGAGAAATTAGCTCCAAATAATATCGAGGACATTTATGACGGAAGTGTATATAAGGAACTAAGTGAGCCTGGTGGTTTTTTGTCGAATAAAAATAACATATCGTTTTCATGGTATACTGATGGTGTAAAAGGTTTTAAAACATCAAAGTTTTCATTCTGGCCCTTTTATTTAATTATAAATGAGTTGCCATATAAAGAAAGATTTAAGAAAGAAAATCTAATTTTGGCTGGTATGTGGTTTGGCGATGAAAAACCTTTTCCAAATTTATTCCTGTCTCCTCTATATGACGAAATGGTTCAATTGGATCATGGCGTTGATATGAGACTGCCAAATAACGAAGATTCGAGACTTGTGAAAGGAAAAATCATTTGTGGCTCCTGTGATCTTCCAGCAAAGGCTTTGTTTTTGAACATGAAACAATATAATGGAAGATACGGGTGCCATAAATGTTTGCAAGAGGGAATAAGATTGCGAAATCGACAAGTATATCCCTATAGAAGAAATATGCTTCTTCGGAATGAAGAAGATACTCTACGACACGCTGAAAGTTTAAGTTTCGGGGTAAAGGGTCGAACGATTTTGTCCAATATAGTGTACAAATGGATAACAACCACATCACTTGACTCTATGCACATGGTTTTTATAGGCGTATTAAAATCATTAATGGCATTTTGGTTTGATCCTAAATTTTCTGGAAAACGTTTTTCTATTATCGAAACTGTGGATGTCGTTGACGAAAGAATTAAATCGCTTCGTCCTCCAAACTTTATTCAAAGGCGATTGCTTTCAATAAAGAGTCACATTAAACTTTGGAAGGCGTCAATGTATAAAACGTTTTTCTTCTATTACTCTCTTCCAATTTTAGAAGATTTGTTACCTCAGGAGTATTTTGAACATTTACAATTATTAATTGCTGCGATATACTTACTCTGCCAACCAAGCATATCTCTTGAAATGTTAGACAATGCTCACAGAATGCTTCATGAATTCGTTTCCAGATTTGAATACCTATACGATTTAGAAAATATGACCTGCAATGTCCACTCTGTCTTACATTTAACCCTTGTTGTTGAACTCCTGGGCCCTCTTTTTGTTTATCATTGTTTTACTTTTGAAAGCATAAACGGAATGCTAAAATATTTAATTCATGGGAGTAAATGCGCTCAGCTTCAAATTTATTTTGGAGCCTCGTTATTTATAAATACATTTACTTTGCATGAGGAATTACTTAACGTTGAAGGTACTGCTTATGCATTTTGTAAAAAATTTTTATCTCCAACTAAGCAAATGAAATTGCGATCTATTGGCGAATCTTTATATATCGTTGGTGCACTTTCTAATTTACGGGTCAATAATGTAATTTTAAGGGCTCTTATTGATAGAGGAATTGCAGGAACAAAGCATATAATTTTTAAAAAATTATATAAAAACAATATTTTGTTTACATCAGAAATATACACTAAAGCGAAATGTACAAATTCGAGTTTTGTAAAATACATTGACAGTGATAATGCATTCCAATTCGGACAAATTCATCTTTTTTTAAAAGTTTTACGCTGTCACTGTAGAAATGGTTGCCAATGTCCTTCTAACTACTATGTAGTTATAAAAAAATATGAGTCAAACCTTAGTTATCCTTCGACTGCATTGCCAGATATAGGCATAAATTTTATACATACAGTTGAAGCAAGTTCAAATGAAATTGATATTTTGGATTTAAATTGTTTAAGTACTGTATGTTTTAAAAGTGAAATTGTACGTAAAAATGGAATTGTATCCTATATTGCGGAACCAGTTAATATAATTGAAGACGAGTAAGATTATAGAATAATTTGGATTAATGTTAAAAAATGTAATATTTAAAAAATATATTTATAAACTTTTGCTTTCAAAAAAGAGTTTTTTCTTTGCAACTCATATTGACTTATAGTAGTTTAGATAAAATTGGCTATTATTGGTGAACATTTAATTTTATAAAATTTCTTTTTATAAAAATCAATTTTTTAAGTCATTTTTCTTATTTTCTTTACTAAATTTAAAAATACTCTCGTATTTTGCCAATTTTGAAAAAATTATGCAAGAAAATATAAAATTATTAAAAATTACAAAATATTTTTTGAATGTCAACTTTACAAATTGTCAAAAAATTGAAAATAAGATATATTTAAATACGAATAATTTATAATATATAATAAAAATATACCATAAATTATAAATAAAATTATACTATTGAAATATTAACAAAAGTTCTTAAAACTATTTTAATAATATTCATAATAAAAATATATGCTTTTTATACATTTTTTGTGTAATAATTGGTTAAAAAGTGGTTCAAATTCAAAAAAATATGATCCTAAAATTAAATCAAGTGATTTTAAGAAACCCCATACTTGACCCATAGTATGGCCCAACTCGCGGAGAAATAATATCAAGTGTTGGACTAGTAAATGGCCAAAGTTTGACTATGGGATTTGGACAAAACCCATACTTGCCCCATAGTGGCCCAACTATGGATAAAATCTTAAAAAATTTTAACCCATACTACTCCCACAGTTGCCATTTTCACGCGGGTCGATAAACAGGTTAACGACTACGGAGCACTGCAACATAGTACCCGATTTCGCCACGCGGGCCGCATCGCTGAAAGCTCTCTCGCGTACGCTCAGCCCACCGATCGGCTATATAAGCTGCGCTCCCGCTGAGGACCGTCACTCTCCTGGAGAAGATTGCATTTCCAACACATCTATCAAGCAGCTGCCCAGAAAGGCCAAAGTCAAACTTCTAAATATTATAAATGCTAGTCTACGTTTCAACTATTTCCCAGCAGATTGGAAAAAAGCTCACATTATCACCATTCCAAAACCAGGCAAAGATCATAAAAGACCAGAAAATCACCGGCCGATAAGTCTTCTTTCTTCCTTTTCCAAACTGGTTGAACGCATCATATTGTCAAGACTTCTGACAGAAATTGAAGAATTAGATCTAATGCCTTCAGAACAATTTGGTTTCCGCAAAAATCACTCTACAAACCTGCAAATTCTC